CCCTGTTCCATGTCTTCTCTTACATCCAACTCGGGCACAGCCTGCCACCCACCACTGTCGCGCCGCATGCAGCCAATCCTTGGTTCCCACATGCTTCCGTCCGCGCTCCACACGTGCTCGTCTCTAACACCTTTACCGAGACCGCTAGTCACCCCGTCCCCTCCTGGTGAGGCCTCCCATAGGTAGTGGGAAAAAGCTCACCGGAGGCTTTGTCCCGGAAATCAGGGTACGAGAAGGTTCCCAGGTGATTTTAATGTGCAGCCAAGGTTGAGAACCACTGAATAAGATTTAAAAAATAAAAATAAAAAGTAATAGAGTCATAAGAGAAATTAATAACATTTAATGGCAGAGAGTAATCATTTATCTGATTGCATTGTAGTACATTATGTAACTACTAGAGGCCCGGTGCATGGATTCGTGTATGGGTGGGGTCCCTCAGCCTGGCTTGTGCCCTCTCGAAATCTGGGACCCCTGGGGGGTGGGGGGATGCCAGACTGCCAGGTTTCCGCCTGATCCCCGCACGCCAGGCCTCAGGCCGAAACCCGGCAGTTTGACATCTCCCTGAGGGATGTAGCAGTGCTAAAGTGGCAGGCGGCTGGGAAGGAGCCCCAGCCGAGGCCAGGCACAGCTCCGCTATGGCTCATACAGCCCTGCTGCACCTGCCACCAGTGCCACCACTTGGTAGCACTGCCACTGAGGCGGGAAAGGCTCCTGCCACCGCAGCTACGCTTGCCAGCCATAAGCCTGGCTTCTGGTTGAGCGGTGCTCCTGCTGTGGGAGCACACTGACCACCAGGGGGCAGCTCCTGCATTGAGCGTCTGCCTCCTGGTGGTCAGTGCACACCATAGCGACCGGTTGACTGGTTGTTCCAGTTGTTTGGTCGTAACAGTCGCTTAGGCTTTTATATATCTAGATATCACAATGTACTTAACCAAATCCTACTGAAGGACACCTAAGTTGTTTCTAACTTATCCATATAACGAACAGTGCTGGCATATCTGTGCATATGTATCAGCCTGAATTCACCCAATCATCCCATGAGGATAAACTCCTAGATGTGGACATGCCGGATCAAATAATAGGCACATTTTATATCAATACATGTTTCCAGAGGGCCCTCCATAAACCCAGTGCTGACTTACAGTCCCACCTTCTCCTTTTAAGGATGCCTATTTCTTCCTACCACAGTTCCCCTGCTTGTAAATAGGTCAAAGCACAGTATGCAAAGGGGCTAAATGTGACTTAGTACACCACTGATTCCCAAGTGCTGGCTGGTGTCAAGTGTTTCATAGTTCTACAGTCAACGAAGAAAAATAAGGGAAATGCTCAATTAATTCAATTTAAAGAACTGGAATTTATTTTTAGAAGAGGCATATTTTAAACACTAAATCTGTTCAGGAAAACACTTTTCGTATTTCCTCTAACACCGTGACCCGCTATCTCCCAGTGCTGGCTATTCTTGCATTGCTTGGTTTGCAACTTTCCCACTTCTCATCCAATAGAACCTTTTAGATGTTATCAGCCAACCTATTCTCTCATCTAAGACACACACTGAAGAGAGGAAGTCTCTTCATTATCTTAAGGAGAAATAAGAATATAAACATCTTCTACAGAATAGTGTCTTCCGGTTATTCTTCTTTATGTCTATGATTTCACTTTTGACCCAAGGGCTGTTCTCCCCCGCCCTCCCCTCACCCCACCAAGTCTTCAAAGGGCCTCAGGACTCCGCCCTCCAACCCCTGCCCTCTGTAGCAAGCCCTATTACACTGACACAAGTCTGTACCTGTTTAGGTGCAGCTGAAGGTGTTAACGAGGAGAATGCTTGAATTGGGTCTTAATGAATGAATTTCTAGTGAGCAAAGAGGAAAGGACATTTTAGACAGAAAAAAAGCACACAAAGGCAGGGCATGAAACAGTATTGTGTGTTCACTATAGCAGAAACAGATTGAAGTAGAAAGTGGTAGGTGCTGAAGTGCAGAAGGGAAATCTTTTGTGACAAATAAAGGAGTTTGATTTCATTTTGAGTGCAAGAGTAATCCCTTGCAGGGCTGTCATATATGACAGTAAAGTAAATGACCACTTGTGTTTTTTAGAAAGACCACTCTTGAGTTAGTGCAATGGCAAGAATTGAAGGATGAAAGAAACAAAACAGGGAAGCCTGAACAGTTATTACTAACCAGGTGAGATTTGATTAAATACCAGCTAAGACAGCAACAGTAAAAATGGGGACAATCGGTGGGCCCAGAAATATTAGAAAGGTAGGTGATAGACCTCCATGGGCTTCAGTGTGAAGGAGGGAAGTCTCTTCTGGCTCTAAATTAGGATTCTAGGAACTAAACAGAAAACATTCCTCTTTAAAACAGGAAAAGTAAATAAAAAGCAAGGACACTGGCATGAAACTTGGTATTTCTACAATAAAAATCAGACATTTTTTAAACCTACGGACATTTGACCCCTTTCTAGAAGTACTCCAACATTCAAAGCCCCTCAGAGGCTACATAGGAATCACTAGGTTCTGGTGGCCCCATCACCCTCAGGTCCTCACAGTTCAGTGAGGGGTTCTCCCTGTTGGTAGGGAGACTCACAGCACCTACCACCCTGTTTACATAACATGATCACTCCAGCTAAGCCAACATCAGTTTGTCGTGTTGAGGATTAATGAGTTCTGTGGCTCAGAACTGCATGGGAAGGTAGGAAAAATCAACCAACTGAACAAACAAAGTAAGCAAACAAAAGCTCTATGGATATGAAATATGAATCGGCACAAGGAGAAAGCCTGAGAGCAGCTATGTACTTTTTCTTTCTCTGTCTGTCTTTCCTTACAGACACAGTTACTGCCATGCAGTCCTTGTAGAGTAAGGCCACTCAGGAAAAGTCTTTACAGATAACATATTATATGTTATTATATTACTAGGGGCCTGGTGCACAAAATTCATGCACTGGGGGTGGGGGCCCTCAGCCCGGCCTGCACTCTCTCACAGTCTGGGGGCCCTTGGTGATGTCCAACTGATGGCTTAGGCCCCGCTCCCTTCCGG